ATGGCCGCGAGAGCCTACACCACGAGGGCCTGCTCCTTCTTGTGCTGTTGCCGAGCATTACACATGCACCGGACAAAAGGGAGGCATAGAAGTACAAGACAGATCCCAAGACCCGCAAGTCCTGCCCATTCCTTTACATGAGATGCAATTGTGGTGACCCATCCCATGAGTCCTTTAACCAGCTTAGTATCTACTCGGGTGGAATTGATGATTACGATGGGTGTACGTAGTTCTCCAAGCAGCTTATCAAAGTTCTCTGACCAGTTACCTGTAAGATAGCTGGAAAGGTTACGGGATAGCGCCGCAGCGTGGCTGTAGTTGTTAAAAGGCACATTAGTAACGCAGAGCCCAGGGTAGCTCCATTGGCATCCAATACGAGCTAACTGCAGGGCAATATCAACCTGTTCTTGAACAAGGTCGACCCTTTGATTTAAGATAAGAATGCCTGCCTTTAGGGTGCTATCTATGTTTCTCTGGGTATCCAGGGCTTGGGCCACAGCAGAAGACAAGTTGTTAACAGCCTCCGCCGTTTGAATGGTGGTGGTTAGAGAAATGGCAGCAGCAGTTGCTGCCGCTGTGGCAATGGCAATAGCACTAACAATAGCTGCGATAATTCTGAAATCCCTTTTTTGCCTAAACAAAGCCATAGCTGAGGGGGCCTCTACTGGCCAGGGCACAAAGCGCGGTACCCGGGTTACTATAGCTAAAGGATGGGTGGACGCGTTCCAGCACCTGGAATAATTACAAAAAGCAAGCTGGATACTATTATTGCTAGCAGTATCGTTACAAACAATAAACAAAAATGGGGGCCAAACACACACTGGCGTTGGCCCAAAGGTAACGTACTTTCAGCAGGCTTTTGAGAGCCTGTTGAAGCGTCTGCGCCGATGTGGTGTTACCCATAGTCCTAAATAAGCTTGTCCCTGTTAACCGGGAACCTTATTGTCCTAAGTAAGCTTGTCCCTGTTAACCGGGAACCTTATTGTCTCAACCGAGAGCCTTGCCTGTCCCACTTACCTGGGAACTTACCCTGTGACTAGTCACCCTGTCCGCGATGAGTTCTGAACAGCTGAGGTCCCCGTACGGGCCACCACTTGTCGCTCACCCCTGACCAGCAGGAAGGAGGCAACAACAACGTGTTCTTCTCAAAGCGGTTTATTCAGCCTTTACATCATGCCAGCTTCTTCTCTTCTTCTAGCTTCTTCTCTTTTTCTTCCCCGTTGTCCCGTACTTATATCCCTTGGTCTCCACCCACAAGTCCCGTACCAGCGTGTCAGCAATTCATAGGCTCTGCAGCGTTGCACTTGCGCGGTGCGCAGTGAAGGAGGGGCCCGGCGGTATATCATGCGCCTAATCATGGGACTTGGCAGAGGTCCCGGGCGCCATCTTGGCTCAGGCCACGCTCTCCACAAATCATGCATTCCTTACATCAAGATGAGGTAGGTCAGGACATGGAGATTGAGAAGGTTAAGTGACTTATCCAGCTTTCCTGGCTGGGAAGAAGCAGAGCCACTGTCCAAACCCAGGCAGGCTGGCTCTAGAGCTTATGCACAAAACCACTGGTTTCTGTTGGTGTGAGAGGAATAAATGCCTGGTCCTCTACCTATTGTCTCTACTCCCAAGAATAATGAAGGTGCAGTGTGGTTAAAGAAATCCTGGAGACCCTCAGAAGAGCAGGGGATGTTCAAGCCTAAGACAGGAAAAAGCAGACATCGCTTCATGCTGGTATCTGGGGGCGGGGGGCATGTGACTTTGTCAGAGGCAGCCTCAAGAACAGAACTAGAATCAAAGGGTGAAAAGCTACAAGGAGATGCATTTGGGCCCAGAAAGAGGATAAGTTTTAAAAATGTATTTATTATAAAATCTTAAATCTACAAACGTAGAAAGCAGTACCCATCAGCTAGCCTCACTTGAAACCCCAACACTATGCCAGGTCTGTCTGATCGCTAAGGAACTGTTTTCTAGCAGTTGAGCCAGTCTTGTGATGGTGAGCACTCTGTCTCCTTAAGAAAGAGCAGACAAGGAAGAAGTGCCACAGAGACTATTTAGGTTGGCGTAGGACAGAAGGCTTGGAAGTCCCCAGGTAGCTTGAGGTTTGAGAGGCGGCAAGAAGGAAATGAGGGGGAGGAGGGTCCATGGGTCGCATCTCCTTCTTTAGAGACTTTAGCTGTGCCTTCTCTTCCTGCTTCCTCACCTAGGTCAACAAAAATGCTTCCTCTCTCCAAAGTAGACCCTTTTCTCCTCTTGCCCACTCCATCCCACCCCAAGCCATGGTTCATCTTATTTTGTTTTCTCTCAGACTCTTCAAAGAGCTATCTGAACTCACTGTTCACACTTCCTCATTCTGATAGTTTTTCCCTCCCCTTGCAGTTTAACCTCACCAAATCCTTCCTTCCCAAAGTTTTTTCCTGCTATTCCCAGTTCCAAATCCAATGGCTTCTTCTTGATCCCCATCTTCTCTGACGTTTCTGTAGCATTTGGCACTGGGAACAATTCCCTCCTCTTCAAAATGTTCTCCATTGTTTTCCACGAACCTAAATGCTCTGACCCAGCCTCCTCTCACTCTCTTCTCTCCCCCTACACCCACCCTGCAAATGCCAGTAGTCCCCAGAATTCTTTCTTTAGTTTTATTTCCTCACTTTGCACACTCTGCCCCAACACTCTGGTGTCAGCTGCGGCCTGACTGCAGATACCTCTTCTATCCAGACCTCTCTCCTGAGCACCAAACCCTCATGGTCTGGACATCTTGTCCTGGATAAACTAGGTTCATCTATTCAGAGTATCCAAAATACACTTCTACCTCTTGTCCAGATTCCCCACTGTAACTTTGGCTCTATTCCCACATACCTCTGCCTGCTTTTCCTCAGAGAGTAACACCATCTGCTCAGTCACCTGGTAGAAGCTGCCTTGACTTCTCTCTCACAATTACCACCTCCCTCCACCACACAAATCAGTGCTATGAATCTGTGTGCTTTACCTCTTGAAACCAGCCCTAGAGCCATTGCCCTAATTCAGGATTTCACCATCTTTTTGCCTGGTCTCCTTTTCTCTCTTCTGATCCATCTCTAAAATTCTTCTAAAATTATGTTTCAAAAACACATTTCACTGCTTCACCCCCTTCCTCAAATACTTTCAGTGCTTCCCTGCCTCCTGTACCAT